TGGGGTGAGCACAGCATAATGAATAAACTTCTTGAATCACTATGTTGTACACCAGAAACTAATGTAACATTGTGTGTCAGTTATTCTTCAATGAAAAACATTTTAAAAAAACTAGACTTCTACTTTGTTTTTGGAATTTGCTTCTTCCTCTAAAAGACAAAGTCAGCAATTAGGTTTAAAAAGGCTAAAATTTGATTATAAATTTGAAATGTTATCTTTTGCTGGAAAGATATTCCCGTGGCATTCTGAAACTAAGATTAGTATTTAAACAGTGAGATAGAGCTTTTGAGTACAGAAATCTATTAAGAAAATGTATAAACTTAAACATTTCATACAGCTGGTTAATTTACCTTACACACAAGAAATTAATAATAACAGTGACATAATGTAATTAAGAGCCTCCTGGATGAGGCAGACAAAGACTTGGATTCTCCTTCACAGTGTAGCAGTGGGAGAACTTTAGTTTCCTATCAAATGAAGTTTCCTTTTCTGTAAAATGAGAAAGGTAAATTGGATCCTTTCTGAGATCCTTTATAGGTCTTAAATTGTTTCCAGATCCTTGAATAACCAGATGGATCAGGATATAAAGTGGCACAGAAATAAAATCAACCAGTGCCTCCTTTCTAAGCCCCTGGTCTCTCCATGCCCTGGCTTATTTTTTTGAGACTGCCTCCTGGTTTTCTGTTTATGCTTACTACCTCACTGTCCCTCTTACCCCTCTTATTCTTACTCATCTCATTGGTCTCTGTTTCTGTCCTCAGTCATAAATTAAGTCTTTAATAAACTATTCGTTTGGAAAAGCAGGGACTAGGTATCTTAAGTTCTGGTCTCTGACGAAGATGAACCTACAATGAGAAATTAATTCAAAAAAGCAAAGCTTTGGAATGTATCTTACCTGATACAATAAATTGAGTTCAGGCTCTCAAATCTGTCATGATTCAATCTTGGACAAATTACTTAAAATGTGATTTTCTCACATATAAAATGAGAAGGCTGAAGTAGGTGACTAAGTTTTCTTCCAATCTAAATGATGAAATAGGTTCGAGCGCACAAAACTGTTAGATAAGTGTCTGACTGGACATCAGTCCTAGGATGGTTACACACATAGATAATGCTAAATTTTCATTCAGCAAATTTGTGCCATTCACCATCAACATTGAGAGAAATGTTTCTGCCTAGTTTTATAACTTAAAAAAAAAAAGAAAGCCTCTGCATTAAAACAATCATTATAGAAAATGCAGTGATTGTTTGTTATTTCCACTGAAATATTAAATGGGGGGGATGAGTTTTAAAATATTTAAAATTTAAGGAGTGCCAGAGTGGCTCAGTTGTTAAGCGTCTGCCTTCGGCTCAGGTCATGATCCCAGGGTCCTGGGATCGAGCCCCACATCGGGCTCCCCGCTCCGCGGGAAGCCTGCTTCTCCCTCTCCCACTCCCCCTGCTTGTGTTCCCTCTCTCTCGCTGTGTCTCTCTCTGTCAAATAAATAAATAAAATCTTTAAAAAAAATTTTTTAAATTTAAAATATTAAAATAACCTCACAAAATTAATTAAATTTCTGGATGAGTTACTGAGGCAGCTAGTATTTTCCTCCTCAAAATTCTTTTCAAATAGCACCTGATCATTTTTAGTATCTTTCAATAAGAATAATTTGCCTAAAATTGAAGAATGGATTAAATAACCTTACCTAATGAAAAGAGAGACCAAGAGACAGACATACAACACAGAGGAAACCCTAGAATGCAGAATGAAGGAAATGGAGCTTACCTGTCATTTACCTGGTTGAAACAGTTCTTTTTTTAAACATTTACCTCCTACATAAACCTGCTGTTTTGCTTCTTGTATTACTGTACTCTAATTTATATCAGAAGTCTTGTCTCTTAAAGATGGCTACTTTTAAAGGATGTAGGTAGCACATAAATTTTTTCCTAATTTTGAATGGCATATCACAAGTATTTATTTCAAACTGGGGACAAGGAGAGCAGGAAAAGAAAACAATATGAAATTATCAAATGAAGATAAACGCTATAATTGGTAATTCTTCTAAGTATATATTTAAGAAACACACGTTTATGAATAGGACAGTGATGCCAGAAAGCTAAAAAATAAGCTTACAAATGAGAAATTCAGCGCAGCCATATCCCTGGTACCGTTAGTATTGTCTTAGTGTAATTCCGAATAATTAGATCCAACTGGTTTACTCCTCAGGGCCTGCCTATAACCTCAGCCTATTTGGATTTTATAAATGTATTTTCTGAGGAAAACAAAAATTTCAGTGCAATTCCAATAAAATGCAATTTTATTGGATGCCATTCCAATAAAAATCCCAACTAACCCTTTTAGTAGAAATTGATAGGCAGATTCCAAAATTTATATGTAAAAGAAAGAAGCTAGAATAGCCAAAATTATTTTGAAAAAAAAAAGTACAAAATAATTTACCTTGGTATTTATTACCATACTTCACCCCACTGTGTTGTGTTAACGATGGGCTACTAACTTGCATATTCAAGCAGTTTCCTTTTGGAGTGATAATGCATTATAAAAGTCTACTGTTATTTTCCTATTTTAGTAAGTTGTAGCCTTATGTATTTTTGTCAGGTTAATGAAGCCTAATTTCCATTCATTAAAATTCATCCTTTTTGAGTATATAGTTTAATTGTGCAACCAATCTTCTCCCACCAGATCTTAGTAACCGATGATCTGATTTCAGTTTCCCTAGTTCTATCTTTTCTAGACTATCATGTAAATGGAATCATACAATATGTAGCCTTTTGTGATGATTTTCCTCACTTAGCATAATCCTTTTAAGACTCATCTATGTTATAGCATAGATCGGTAGTCTGTTCCTGTGCCAACCTGGGTAGGCTGTTTTGTTTCCCAGAATTTTCTTCCTTATATACTTCCAGATAGGGTGAGCCACAAGCCCCATTTGTGCGTGAAATTTGGAGGGCAGAACTAAAGCAGCGGCTTCATCTTATATTTTAGGCAGGCACTTTTGTAGTTCCCACATGGTATGACTTACCTGCTGGCTCACATTTTGGGGTGGGGCAGCGGTCTGGCCTGCATTGTTCTACCTTTCCTTGCATCCTCCTTCAGCATCTTTGACTCCTGGGTCACGTGTATGTTTAGCAACCTGGCAAAAGGCAACTTTTCACACAGGATACTCCCATTATCAAAGTTGGAGGCAGTGAGAAGTGACATGGGTCTCAGTCAGTCCTCATGGGTTCCAGCTTTGTCTTTGTTTCTTCCACTTTCCATCTCCTGTCCCTTTCTAACTGCCTCCCCTGTGAAGTCTAAGCTCTTAGGTGCAGAAACAACAGCCTCATAGGGACTGCTTAACCAACCCCAACTGTGTAACAGCAAATCCCTGTAAACAAATCACTATAAAAAACATACAGGTATGCCTACAAATAACCTAGTAGTTCTGCTTCTCTGACTGAAGTCTGATACAATTTTGCATCCCTGAGTAAAAAAATATCCACTATATGGATGTACGGTTTGTTTATCCATTCACCAGTTGATGGACATCTGGTTGTTCTCAGTGATCCAGTTTGGGATCATGAATAAAGCTGCTATAAATGTTCACATACAGGTCTTTGTGTGAATATATTATTTCAAAACATGGTATTTATAAATATAAGAAATAGCTAAAAGAGTTCAATGTGACTGCCACTGGAGGTGGAAAGGAGCACAAAGGGGGCTGATGTTGATGTTTTACATTTGAGACCTTTCTTACCATGATTTAAAAAAAACAAAAACACTGAATGTACACTTTAAAAGAGTGAATTTTATGCTAGGTGAATTATACTTCAATAAAAAGGTATTAAAGTATATGATAATACAATAAACAGACTGCCAACTTATAATCTAATATCAAGTTTTATTTACCTTTTTTCTTACAATATGCTTGTCATTCAAAATATACCTCATAAGTAACTCATGCATACAGTAGGCACTCTATAAATATTTTGATTTAATAATTAGGTATTTTTTAGAATGACTAAAAATCCTGATGTAAAATCCCAATAGGGAAGTGCATAATCCCATTGTAGACAAAATATATAACTTTACAGTAAACATTTTTATAAGAATTTTCCCCAAAGAGGGAACACTTACAATTTGGAAATTAAAAAATAAAAAGTAAAAAGCAAGATGAAACACAATACTAGTATATTTAGCCAATGATCCCTGGATCAGTGGTGCTTAGAGACCAAGGGTTACCTGCACCCTATGGCCTTAAGACCATCTGAAATTCAGTTAAGAAGATAGTCATATACCTAATAACCTCTTAACTGGAAATGCTGCAAGAAAATATAAGCAATAGCCTGTGAAACTTTTTAAACTACATCCCTTATATGAACACAGGAAAAAAATTTAAATACATATTTTATTCTCCAATTTTAAAAAAATCAAGGCTTTTCATCTTAAGCAGCAAGAATGATCCACAAATAAGCAAGAAGTAACTTTTACAGAAGCTATGTTAAATTCTGTGGAAAATACTGTGGGAGATTAGTTCAAGAACCTTAGTCCAAATATAAAATAAATCCTTGCATTGAAGGGTCTTACAGTGTTTACAAAAACAAAACAAAACAGGCTGTGACCACATAAGATAAAGTGTCTTCTAACTCCTTATTTTGGTTTGGCTTTATAACTCCAACCTGAAAAAAATTATAGCACTATTATGCTAAAGAAAAATTAAAAGCCACCAAATGCCTAACCTTAGTGAAGTACCTGTGCAAACCTATAAACATACTCAAATACTTAACTGCTATAAAATGAAAAGTCTACTAACTATATTTTTCAAAAACCATATATAATTCTATAAAATTTAAATATGTGGACTATATCAATACATGGAAATGTATATATAAAATACTATCAAGTGAGAATAACAAAATAAAAAATATAAAGTGATTACAACCATGTAAAAGTAAATATATTACAATAACAAAAACTGAAGTGAATTTAAATTTATAGAGACATAAATAGATTCAAACATCCATTAGGGGCTTTTCTTTGTTACGTAAGATTATAACAAAATAAAAAAAATAGACTATTATTTTAGATAAAACTATACTCCTGAACAATAAATACTGAACTACATGTGAACTCCTAAAACAGATCTTAAAAACCATGACTTACTCCATTTCAGGTGTGTCCTATGGATGGAGATCAGCCCACATTTGCTGATCTTCATTTTACAAAACCTTCTGGCAATGTGTACAATTATAATTGCCCTTCTTAAACATAAAAAGAAAAAAATTTAAAGCACTGTTCAAGTAAGAAAACCAAGCAGCATGCTAACAAAACCTATCTACTTAATCTGTTTTGCTCCTGCAAAAAGCTAACAGAGGATTTAAAAAAACTAATTCTATATACATATTTTACATAATATATTTATGCTATAAATATTTTAAAGAATGGCTTTTACATAATTCTCCATGTTAATTTCAATAGATATCTTATTTAGTCACAAATTATGCAAATGCAGTCTTCTAGAATTATTACTGAAAATTATTCTCTCCATGGTTTAGAAAATGGTTAATTTCTTGGATAAAACATAGCATATTTAGAAGTCCGAAAGCCAAGTAAATCCCTTATTTCATTTCGGAATTTTGACAGATCCTGGCGTAGTTCATTTAGGTTTTCCACGGTTGCCTGATCTGTACTTTGCATCTTCTGCCTCATGGACGTCAGGTAACGATGCACCAAGCAGCACATCACTTTTTGGTAGTTCTCATCCCTCTTTTGTTTCAGATTTCTCCATTCCTTCAAAACAAACAATTGCATGGTACTAACAATGGACATAAACCATATTTAAATGAGTTTTTTTAAAGATTTTATTTATTTATTTGTCAGAGAGAGAGAGAGCACAAGCAGGGGGAGCGGCAGGCAGAGGGAGAAGCAGGCTACCTGCTGAGCAGGGAGCCCGATGGGGGACTTGATCCCAGGACCCTGGGATCATGACCTGAGCCGAAGGCAGACGCTTAACCAACTGAGCCACCCAGGCATCCCTAAATGAGGTGGGTTTTTAAAAAATATTCACAGACACAAACACATGTTTTATTAGACTGTATTTTTGGCATTATGTGTTACAAGGTAATATCCAACACTTATTTAAAACAAATATGGCCTGCACATTTTGTTATTCATTCACCTGGATGCTTTTCTTGATTTAACAATAGTCTTAGGAATCTTCAGTTTATAGGAAAGATTAGCAAACCACAACCCACAGGCCAAACATGGCCCACTTACTATTTTTTTATGGCCTGTGTAAGCTAAGAATGGTTTTTACAGATGACTATTTGTAATTAATTTGATGATAGGGAACACTAATTTTGAACCCTAATTAAACAAAATGTTATTTCCCTCCCCAAAATGGAATTCCATTCTTTACATTAGATCTGTATTACAAAAAAATTATTACTCAATTAATATTATACTTTTAATTTCACCAATAAAAATTTTATAGATATTTGTATTCTTTCTTGTAATATTACTTGTTATATTAATATAACATCTTTGATTTTGTCTCAGTCTGCAAAGTCCAAAATATTTATTATCTGGCTGCTTACTGGAAAAGTTTGCCGACCTCTGGTTTGTGGCAACATGTATTGAATTATTTATGTACTGAATAACTTTCAAGAAGAACTGAAAAATATGAGCTGGCTCTAGTAGTCAATCTTTATCTATGCTGACAGAATAGGTATTCTAAATATTTTCCATGTTTTAAAGCTGTGAGATAAGATTTCATGAAAAAAAATTACAGCTCTCTCCTCTCACATATTGAATCCTTACTGTCTGTTAGATAATGTGCCACGCATTAGGGGTGTATGAGCGAAAAAAAAGTAGACAGTCCTAGGTCTTAAAGAGGCCGAGGACATATTTACACTTTAGTAAACATCTGATATTAGGAACTGTTAAAACTTCCAAGTTACAATTTTAATTTCTTTTTTTTTTTTTTTAAAGATTTTATTTATTTGACAGAGAGAGACACAGCGAGAGAGGGAACACAAGCAGGGGGAGTGGGAGAGGGAGAAGCAGGCTCCCCACTGAGCAGGAAGCCTGATGCGGGGCTCGATCCCAGGACCCTGGACCGTGACCTGAGCCGAAGGCAGACGCTTAACCTACTGAGCCACCCAGGCACCCTACAATTTTAATTTCTTACCTTCAAACTGTTTTGCCGTTTAACCTTGCCTTTTGATGTATGAGAGCAAATCCACTTACTGAGGCTACTAATCATATAGCAAATAGTCTTTGGTGAAGGAATGATGTTGAAAGGTGGGGGTAATGTACATTTGTCATCAAAGTAGCTAAGCCATAACTTTGCTCGAGCGAACTTCCATTCTTTGTCTTCATGATTCTGTAAGAGGCAAATGAAAAAGCAATATAGAATATGAACACACACACACACACGGGGGAAGGGGAGGACAGAAGGAGCAAGGGAGAAAGGTGGGGTGGGGGGAGGAGAGAGAGAGAGAGATCATTTTAAGCTGTCCAAATGTTTGCACACCTTGTATATAAAAATCTGGTTCAAGATTTGCAGTTAATATACATTACTTACATTTTACAAAAATCTATATTTAATTTAAAAATACTAATTTTTAATTCTTACAATCTTTGGTTGCCTAGATTTATCTACTGCATACATTTGGTATGATCTGAAAGAACATAAAGGTTTTAAAAGAATGAACACTTACTGCTATCAACTGGAAGCTTTTATGAAGCATTGCCACCAGCAGCTTGGTAAGCACGATCACAACCACAACATTGTATGTCCCAACAATAACAGCTCCAACAAAGGACTGCAATTCTTCTCCATAACTAAATCTTGTGACAAAGATTGCCACATGTGCTAAGGAGAAAATATACCAGAACAAAGCAAAGCAAGTGCCAATGAACCTGTAAAGACAATTACATTTCTGTTTAAAAGGAAATTAAAGAGATTAATTAGCAAAAATGAAGAATTCATTTATATCAACACTCCATAAAATATTGATAACCTAAGAATAATACTTTAAAAAATAAACGAGGTTGAACCCAATGGTACAGATATGCCTTCCTTAAACAAAGAAACAGACTCAAAAGGAGGATAAACTACTTTTGTTTAACCCCTTACTGCTTTCCTGTCTATTCTCAACAAAGCAGCTGCTAAGACATTGTTAATGCCTAAATCAAGCTGCCACTTCTCTGCTCAAAAACTTCAAATGGCTCTCAATCTCAACAGCCCAAAGTCCTTACCAGTATCAACAAGGTTCTACATCTCCTACAACTTTCCCTCAGCTTCACTACATCCCAACCACACTGGCCTCCTGGCTTTTCCCTGAACTTGGCAGCCACACTCCCATCTCAGGGCATTTGCCTTTGTCATTCCCTCTATCTACTAATGGTCTTCCTCCAGCCATCTTCTTTGTGTCTTGATTCTTCATCAGCTTCATATCTTTACTTGAATATCATCTCTGTGGGGCCTTCCCCAGTCTCCTATCTAAAACTGCACCCTCTCACACATATATCCTCCCTGGCCCAAGCTTTGTCTCTTTAGCCCCTTTTATTGCATAATATACTATATATTTTATTTCTCTTTTTATTGCCTATATCATCTCACTCTAATAGAATATAAGCTCCATGAGGTAGTGTTGTTCACTAGTACTTCATTCACTCAGCACTTCAAACAGTGTCTGTTACGCAGAAGGGGTTAAATGAATACTTATTATTAATTTAATCTTATTCCTTAAATAAGATGACATGCGAGTATCTAAAGAATAGTTGGTACATAACAGCAACACAACAAATGAGTAATTCCACACCCCTTCTCCATTATGTTATTTTAAAATGAGGGGAGGTAGGGCGCCTGGGTGGCTCAGATGGTTAAAATGAGGGGAGGTATTTTCTCTCCCTTACAACTGATTATTCAATTTCTTATGATACAGCAAATTAGAGAAAAAATTGTTGATGAAGCTCTAATGATTCTCAATTCTAGTGACCTCCTACTAAGTGTTGAAAATACAAGAGATTGTTTTGGCTGTAACAATGCTGGACAGTTGCTACTGACATTTACTATGTGAAGGGTAGAGATGTTGAATGTCTTGCAATATACAGGACTGACAGAAAACTGTCCTGCCCAAAATACTAACAGTGTACAAAATGCCACGAGCTCCTCTGTTAAAACAGACTGCAGTGGGGGAAACGATGTATGATTTTACGCCTACTAATTACTTAAGATTCTACTTATATAAAGATAACTATCAAATGATTCATGAAAATAAGTATTTCTTATTAAAAAAGAATGTCTTGGAGAAAATTTGAAGTTCTATTTCTCTAGGTACTAATTCATATACAACACAATAGAAAGAGAGAAATATATTTACTAAAAACTTTAAAAGACACTCACGAATGGAAGGTATCATTGCTTTGCTGTTCACAGAAGATGCCTACACAGTCCTTCTGTTCTTTTGGGGTATAGCCTTTATCGTACAGTTGTGTCAGTCCAATTGTGAAAGAAAACAAAACAAGAAGGAACATCCCAAGAAACTTTCCAAAATCTTGTAACATCTGTCCCATTGAAATCTGTGGAATATATTATATAGGTGTTGGTTAAAATTATCAGGAACAAAATAGTAAATATTAAATGACTAGGCAATAAAAGTAAAACAAACATATGATCCACAGTCTATTCCTTTTATTCCATCTGGTTAAGATAGTTTCATACTTTTAAAACATCAAAAGTCTCGTTGCCTAACAAAAAGCCATTCTAAGCATGCCAGCACTGTAAGTACTGGATGGCACAATTCTTGAATCTGGACCAGGTGTGCAGAGGACATGGCTGTGATGAAGTTAGAGGCTGAGACATGGAGATTTAAGAAAAGCCTATTTGCAAGGAATAAAAGGAAAATTCTTTGCTCAAGCCTAAAGGGAAATAAATGCTAATATTTACAGCTTTTTAAAATTTACAAATATAAAATCATATGACATAAAGTATTTGATTTTTGTGATCAATTACCATAAGATGGCATTTCCTCCTCCAGGACTGCCCTAATTTCTTTTGCCAAGGTGGTCAATTTTCTTTCATTTTAGATAAATTATAAAAAAATATTATGTGTACGAGCCAGATGAGTAGGTTTAGTATATGGGTACCTATTGTAATGTACACTTGTGAAGTGTGTCTGGAAGCTTTATTCAAGCCTAATTTCATTGTCCTCTAATACTCCTTAAAAATCTGGGAAATAGGCATTTTTCATAAATTCCTGGTATTTAAATTAGCATAGCAAATTCGAAGAATAATTTGACATTACCTTTTTGACCTAGCAATTCTATCCCTTGGAATTTAGCTAATAGATAAGAAATACGCTAAGATGTGTGTATATACAAGGATTTTCACTGTAGCACTGTTAGAGGTAGCAAAAAAATTAGAACATCCTAAATATTGTTAAAAAGAATGAAGTATATATCTCTAGGTGCTGGCACAGAAAAATGTCTATAAAATGCTAAGTCAAAAAAGCAGGGTATAGAACAGTATTCTAACAGCTACTGTTTCTAATTTTTTAAAGGATAAATCAGGTATATATTTTCATATAGACAGGATTTAATGTGTACAGGGAAGTTTTGGAAGTTTACACAAGAAACTGTTAACAGTGCTTATCTATGGAAGGTAGGACTAGGGGTTAGAAGGCAGACTTTTTTCCTTTGATTTTTCTTTACTATATGCATTTATTACTTTTACAATACAAAAAATAGTGTTTAAAAATAATCCTTCCTCAAGATTTACAGGTCAGTTTTATATAGTTAATTAAATCCAGCTTCAAATAAAATTTCTCACTGTTTCAAACCTGCCAAAATAATATATGCCATTTACCAATGACACAAAATGGCAGTGACAAGCAAGTGGCCAAACCCCTCTAACCCACTAAAGTCAGCCAGGTAATTAAGTAGAAGAGGCGTGCTAAAATTTTTTAGGCACACCATAAGCTGGCGACCTGGACTCTGGAAAGGTCCAATATGCCTGAGCTGCACATGTGACTAGGCCATATGGTACTTTTAAAAGTCTTATGCTTCCCTCACTTCCCCTTGCAAAATTCTGAGAGAAGAAATAGAGAGCTTTTAGATTCAGCAAGCCGGAAATGTGTGACAAAGAGAAGAAATACATTTCCCTTTTAGTCAATGATAGCTTTCTACTGAATCACCTTGGAAAAGAAATAATTTATTCAGACTGTGAGTGCTTAGATAAAGCCATGCCATGCAACTAGAGAACTTAATAAGTTAGGACAGTAAGAATGCAGTAACTGCTTTAGATAACTACGAAAAGACTGCCTTTGAAGAAAACTTAAGACACTGTAAGTAAACTTATGAGTAAATAGGGTTTCCCAAGAGTGACTATGTATGATGTTATTTGTTTAATTTTAAAAAATTTAGTCCAAAAGAGAAGCCTTAATTTAACATGACTAAGTTGGTTTTTTAAAAAATATATTTATTTATTTATTTTAGAAAGCGAGCAAGCGAGGGGAGGAGCAAAGGGAGAGGGAGAGAGAATCCTCAAGCAGACTCCCTGCTGAGCAAGGAACCGTAGGCAGGGCTCAATTCCATGACCATGAGATCGTGACCTGAGCTGAAATCAAGAGTCGCACACCTAACCAACTGAGCCACCCAGGAGCCCCTAACATTACTAAGTTTTAAAGAGTAAGTATAATTCAATTTCAGTATCAAGATGAACAATATTTAATGAAAAAAAACCCCACAAACTTCAAGGTCTGTTCTTTAAAAGCATGATATTAGTTCTTACATAAGATGGAAGAATCAAAACTAGCTACAGTGGATATCACTGAGGTGAGCATCAACTGAAAGAGCATACTAACCAAACATTCATGTGAAAGGCAAAATTTAAAAACAGTAAATCTATTTTAGTGTGAGACATTATGAGGCTTATTTATTTGTGAAAATAATAATGCTTTTGAAAATATTTACTTATTTTAAACTACTTGGCATTTCTACTCAAGAAATAGGAAAATTAAGAAATGAAAAGAAAAAGGTAATTAAAATGTCAATACTGAAGTTTACACAGAGTTAATAGGGGTATACACAGAGAAAAATATATATACATCTTTCTTAGTAATCAGAAAAACAGAAATGAAAGAAAACTAAGATAGTGTAACTTAGCACCAAATGCTATTCAATGTGGTGAAACAGTCTGCTTTTATACTGCTTGTGAGACCAAAAATTAACACATCCTTTCGAAGAAAACAGAAATACTAAGGCACTATTAAGGATCATATCTTCTGATATGTTAATGCTACTGGAGATTTATCCTTAGGAAATAATTTAAAAGAGGCAAAGTCCTCTACACAGAGTACTGTGTAGAACAGCAAAAACATGCCAAATGCCTGAGAGGGCAAAGACTGGTATCATTAGGGTTCACAGCAAGTGTTAAAATTATAAAACTTGCTAATGAAGCAATAATAATGACAACCTCTAGTCATTCTCCTTCCAAATCTTTCTCCAGAAAAAGCCACAGTTACCTGTCTAAAAGTTCTTTAAAAAAAAAAAGAAGATTTTTATTTATTTACGAGAGAAATAGAGAGAGAGCACGCACACAAGTGGGAAGGAGGAGCAGAGGGAGAGAGAATCCCAAGCTGATTCCTTGCTGAGCACCAGCCGGGCGTGAGAGGCTCGATCTCATGACCCTGAGATAACGACCTGAGCCAAGATCAAGAGTCGGACATTTAACCCCTAAGCCACCCAGGCACCCTACCTGTCTAAAAGTTCTATCTAATCAAGCATTCATGCTCAAAACCTCCTTTGCACGTATGATAATATTCAAATTCCTGGCACAGAGAACTTCAGAGTCCAGTCCGGTCTATTTTTTCAGCCTCATCTCCCCAGTAGCCACCCACTGTCTAAGTACAAAAGACATCCTGTCCTGTCTGAGCACGCCATACTTTTAGGACTCCATGTTTTCACACATGTAACTCCCTGCTCTTTGCCAGGCAAGCTTCTCATCCCTTCAAGGCCCAGATCAAATGTCACCCTAAGAAGCTTTCCTGACTCTCTCCAGGCACTGCCTCATTTTGCTCCAAAGTGCTCTGTCCATAATCTCTAAAATACTATTTTTCACTTTATACCAATATGTATGTTTGTCTCTTCTAGTAGTCTTTAAGAGCAGGCACAATGTCAGTAAGCTCCAGAGCCCAGCATATTAGTTAAAATGTTGAACACATAACTACTTTTTATATGCCTTTTTATACAACTCTACCATTTTCTAAGAGGTATCATGTATTCTTATTTACCTTGCAGTATGGGAAAGGCTAGTATTATCTCTATTTTTCCAAGTGACAAACTGAAGCTTGTGGAGATTTAGTGAATTGCTCAGGGTAACAGAACAAATAGATGGCAGAGGTAGAATTCAATTCTCATTTCTTGCAAGAGATTTTGTGAAACATCACTGTCATTTTTATCATAGCTCTCCCATTAAAAATTTGGGGCTGTGTACAAGTTAGAAGGATTTCGTTCTCATGTAACAGTTCCCCCACACAGCAGGGCTTATTGACTTAATGCATGAATAAATATCGGGAAAAAAATGTAATTGTTAATTAACATTTTGCACCAAGTCTTTTTTTCTAACACTATGAGCTGGGCCTTAGTTTCCTGAGCTATAAAAGGGATGGTCATGTGCTACATCAGACTCACTTACCTACATGCTATTAAAAATTTGCCAGACTTTATCCCAATCTATTTAATCAGTATCTCTGAGGGCAGGACTTAGAAATGAAGGTTTCACAGGCTCCCCCGGTGATTTTTTTTTTAAGATTTTATTTATTTATTTGACAGAGAGAGACACAGCGAGAGACGGAACCCAAGCAGGGGGGAGTGAGAGGGGGAGAAGCAGGCTTCCCGCCGAGCAGGGAGCCCGATGCGGGGCTGATCCCAGGACCCTGGGATCATGACCTGAGCCGAAGGCAGCCGCTTAACCATCTGAGTCACCCAGGTGCCCCTCTTCCCTGGTGATTCTGACTTAGCCTCACCAATTTGGGAATTCCTAGACTACATGACCTCTAAGTTTCCCTCTAACATTTATGCTTCTTAAAAGAAAAATATCTATCCCCAGTATACCCTAAAATGCAAGGTACCTGAAATTGCTCTTTACTCATTGCAAAGGACAATATGCCATTTCTGTGTTACAGACCAGTAAATCAAATCTAATAATTATCCAGTAAAGCCAAATAATGCCCTAGTAATAAAGTATGCATTCATGTGTCAGACACTACATTTACTTTCCAAGTTTCCTTGTATTATGTTTCAGGTCTGCCACAGTTAACTCTACTAACTATAAAGGGAATGGAGGAACGGATCTAATCATTTATGTAAAACTCATCATGTGTCAGGGACTCTGCTATGAGATGCATCTTCTACATGCTGATCCATTTAATTCTCATGACAATGATACGGAACCTGAGACTCATAGAGATGAAGTAGCAGTAAATTATGGAACAAGATTTTGAACCTAGCTGGTTGGTCCTGTCTTGTCCTTTCTGTCTTATGACCCAACTACAAGGGCTAAAGGTTGTTTAATTCATTTGAAATACATGGAAAAACCAGGAAGAATTTTTGAAATCTGTAAATTATTAAAGCCTACCCAAAGAAGTGTTGTACAATAAAAGTTAATGAGAGAATCATATTACCCTGTAGCACTGAAAACAGAAGGGCAACTTAGCAGAGTGGTGAAGATCATTAGCTCTGGAGCCAAACCACCTGGGTTGGAATCCCAATTCAGCTACTTACCAGCTGTGTGACTTTGTGCAAGTTACTTAATGTCTCTATGCCTCAGTTTCTTCCTCTGCAAAATGGAAATAAAAGAGTCTGCCTCTTAGAACAGTTGTGAGGATTTAATGAGGTAATAAATGTAAATAAAGATCTTAGAATAGTATCCACAGTAAGGGCTCAAATGTTAACTGTTACTATTACAATTGCCACCTTTATTTTTAGATTCTGTCTTCATGTCTTTTTTTGTTAAAATGTAGAACATTACTGATTTAGGCCCAACCATGACTCCTATCTGAAGTGTATTAGCTGGCATCCTTCATAAAAGCAGAAGAGCTAACTTCAAAGAGCAGGTTGGTCTGTGGATTCAGAGAGACTCAGGTTCAACTCTTGACTCTACCTCTGTCTAGTTCTGTGAACTACTGAACCTTTCTAAGCCTTAGATCCGTCATTTGTAAAATGGAAATAAAAAACAGCAAGGGTTGTGATGAGGATTAAATAAGTGGAAAACAGCACAGTGCCTGGTCCACATGAAACGTCCAACAAATGTGGTTGCTGAACATATTTTGAAGAAGCAGCTCCAGGCACAGCTAGGATGTTGTCCTATTTCTCCATCAGCCTTTTTCTTTTCACATACCCATCAGCACTTGTCTCTACTGAAGCCCATTCTATCCAGTTTTTCAATTCAGTTTAACAAACAGTAAGTAACTACTATGGCAAGGCAGTAAGTAAAGTGCAGATGAAAAAATAAAGCTATATTCCCCATCCTCAAGGATTTTTTAATTTAGTAGAAATAATATCATCTAGAATTTAAGACAAGCTAAATTTTAATTGTCTTACAATTAAGACAAGCTTTAGGAAGTGCTTTAAGTGTCTTACAATTAAGACAAGCTTTAGGAGATTCAAGGTATCAAGTTCACTGGATGGAGTTATTCATTAGCAGGGAGCAGGAGTGTAGGAATAGATTTTCCAGTGGCAAGAGCCCTGAAGCTAGCACATGTTACTTCTCCTTGGGATACCCTAACCCACCTCCTTTCTACTCATCTTTCAAGACTTACTTCCAGTGTCATCTCTTCTGGAAAGTGCCTTAAACTGAAGCGAGTGCCCCTTCTCTGAGCTGTCTATGACAACAATTACCACTGTAAATGTCATGCTTGTTGGTCACCCTCAATGCACTGTGAGCTCCTTAAGGAGATATTGGAGCTTATTCATTTTAGTGTTCTCAGTGTCCAGGACCTACCAGGCACTCAATAAATGTTTGTTGAATAAATAAAATTTCAACAAGCAGAGGGATGGCTGGGACATTCTAAACAGGGTAATAACAAACAATGACATGGAAGTGGAAGAGCACGGGACATGTGTGAGATTAGTGACTGGTCTTGGCCCAGATGGAGAAGAATTTCAGTAAGAGACAGAGAGGAGTACAGTGAGAGATGGCTACAAAGTAAGTAGGGCCAGACGTAGAAGGTCACCTTCCAAAGTCTACCTACAACATAAGTTACAAATTTAATGAACACAATCATAAAAATGTCAAGTACTAGAAAAGAAGATTCAATCACTGCTGAATATAGAACCATTTTATATACTCTATGACATTCCTATGACCTTCATTTGCCTAGGATAGTCCCAGTTTCCACTTGTTTTCCCAAGTTGGTATTCCCCAAAGTGTCTCTATTCAGATGATAAAATATGGTCATTCTAATCAGGGAGAGATCTGTACCCCTAACACAGGTTATATATCCAGTTAAAATAAGTCTGTCAACTTCTAAATCTGCAGAAATTTGGAAGGAAAAAATGTTAGTATATGGAAATAAATTTAACAACCAACAGCAGTAATCACATAAAAACATTATCTGACATAGCAGGTTATATACATAAAGGAAAAAATGTTACACTTTTGCTGAAGTAATTAACTGTCAATTTTCTTTTTGCATTTCTTTTAGTTTTACATTCATAACTGAATCATTCCATTTTAATTGAGTTCCTTATGATGAATAAAACGGAAAAATGTATTATAATTCTTCTGATTTTTTCTAGAATATTTTGGCAGAATTATGCAATACAAATCTGTCATGTTAGTAGGACTACACTGGAAAACAAATGTCCTTATTTGAAAATTTAAGTAAAAGCCTCAAAATATGAATCTACAGATTCCTATTCAATATCTATTTTTTGCCCTCTTCCTAACTAACCAGACCTTGATTTCCTGGGGGGCAATATGCTCAATTAAAGGTACTCATCTCCTCAGACTTCCTTGTAGCTACAAATAACCATGTGACCAAATTCTGGCCAATGAGTTAATAAGTGGAAACATTTGGTAGGGCTCCAGGAAAAATTATTGCTCTCTTGATAAAAAGAGAAAGACAGCTGGCCCATGCTTTCTGCCATTTGCCCTCTGCCTTTCCCCCTTCTTCCTGCAGGATACCGACTTGATATAAGACTTGGAGCTTGCTTTGTAATATCATACTAATTCTATTTGTATTTCCAAATCTTTCAGTTCTGACACTAGCCTACCCCAGCAATGGTTGCCTGAGGAGAGGGCAAAGGGAGTACTAAATGAAAAAGGTACCAAGAAACTTTTTGGGCTGATGCACATGTTCTCTATCTTGTTTATGGTGGTGATGAAACAAACTTACACATTTGCAAAACTCATCAAGTTAAGATGGGTGTGTTTTACTGTACGTAAAGTTTACCTTAACAAAGATAGTTTTTAAAAAATCATTTGCTGAACTAAATCATAATATTTAAGTATATATTATGATTAACCTGCAGACTTTCTTAAAAAATGGGAACACAATAAATATTTGTTGGCTTCACCTAAATTATGTGTAGTTCTATGGCTATTAGGATAGTATAAATTATCATGGTGGAGGAGAAAAACACACACAACAGCTGAAATGACAAATACCCACTTATGCAGTATTTGTATACACAACTATAGTTCTTTTGGGAAGAGACTAAGTCAGAAGACCTGATTCAACAGTTCTAAGAGAAACAAAGAGATAATTCCCTAAGAATAGCATACTTTTCCTTTTTAACTCTCTGTAGAAATCTATAAAAAAAATTTTCCATATAGAAACTTGGTGATCCCATCAGTTTTTAGCTAAAATAAAAAAAAATCAACATGCACGTAAAAATTACTGTTGAATCTTGACTAAAACATTCATTGAAGATATTAGTGGCAAAATTAAATCAAAATAACAGATAGTCTAAACCAGTGTTTCACATACTATTGCTTTGGAGAAAAACAGAGACTTGAGCATATCTAATGAAAACTGAGTATGACATTAAATGAGTTTGTGTAATAATCCTTTGAACAAGCTTAAACAAGTTTCTTTACTTCTTTCTCATAAGCTTTAATGTGATAATGTGCACTGTGAATTCCCAAAAGAGTTTTATGGAATGCAGTGTGTCTGACTTATTTCAGTCAGAGCACCTCATAGGACTTGGTTAAGGAAATCACACTTCAGGAAACCCTGTTGCAGGATGACAGCACAAGCCAAATCAAATCAAGTTTTTCCTACATATTTTATTTTCATATCTCTATTTGGAGAAGGTAATTATGCCCTCTATTTAAAACATCTCCTTTAAAAATATTTTTAAAAATCTACGTTCTTGGGGTGTCTGGGTGGCTCAGTCAGTTAAGCATCTGCCTTCGGCTCAGGGCACGATCCCAGCATCCTGCAATAGAGCCCCACATCGGGCTCCCTGCTCGGTGGGGAGCTTGCTTCTCCCTCTCCTCCTCGCTTGTGCTCTTTGTCGCTCTGTCTCAATCTCTCAAATAAATTAAAAAAAAAATCTTAAAAATCTACATTCTTAGTAAATTTTAACTTATTGAGAAAAAATTAATATTTAGAGCTAGTCATGTAGCAAAGTTGATCCCCACCTTCTAAAAACAATCATTACTACAATCTGTGGGGTAAATTCAACCAATTATGAGTCCTTTCTTTAATGTAAAGAGACCTAGAATTTCGTCCTGGACTCTCATGATAATCATCATACTACTCTGAACAAATCACATACCACCTCAAAAGCTCAATTTCTTGAGCTATAAATTACTATAAAGTATAAAGCCGGGCCATATGAACTCTATGAAACTTGTTAGTTCTAAATATGCTATTTTCCAACTTATTTTTACTTAATATTTACTAAACAAAGTGAAAGAGTATTTTCAAAATATAGCTTATTTATTTTCTTTTTTTTTTAAAGATTTTATTTATTTATTTGAGAGAGAGAGAGAATGAGAGATAGAGAGCACGAGAGGGAAGAGGGTCAGAGGGAGAAGCAGACTCCCCGCTGAGCAGGGAGCCCGATGTGGGACTCGATCCCGGGACTCCAGGATCATGACCTGAGCCGAAGGCAGTCGCTTAACCAACTGAGCCACCCAGGCGCCCATAGCTTATTTATTTTCAAAATCATCATTAAATATGAATTTTTTGCACAACACCTCCCTCATATTTATCACTTAAAATTTTAAATATGAGATTCATTTTGGTAAAAGCAGATTTTCATGTTCCTCTATTGTCTGAAGTATAACTATATTTTAAACAAATCTACATCTGTTGGCTGCAGGACAATAGGCCAGAGCTTAATAAAGTTTGAATACCTGAAACCAAAAGATTATCATTCAGCCAGAAGCAAAGCAGATGAAAATGCAGTGTCCTCTCAACTGTTAATTATTATCAAAAGCAAAGTTTAACATCATGAGAGAACAATGTTCCAGTGGACCAACAGCAAAATATAATAATAATGACATTTAACAAATATTCTTTAATAAGAATTAATTATTTACCTGTAATGGACCCAATATGGAGCTTGTTGTATACATAAAAAAGAGACGAAGATAACTTAGAACATTTGCAAATGCAAAAAGCCCTTCCGCCACCAGAGTAGGATGGAATGCGTCCCAGTCCTTCCGGTCAGCAAAATCATGAAACTAAAGTTAGGAAGAAAAAGCCAAAGGTAAATAGCTCCCTCAGTTTAGGAAAATAAAAATAAATATTCTGACTATTGAAAGAAAACTAATTATTTATACCTCTTTCAGGGGTTCTCCTTTTATGTTTTGTAAAGTCCTCTTCTTTGAATACAAATAACATTATTTTAACTAAATAAAAGATCTTTACATATGTGAGGCAATATCACTTACTCTATATAAAGAGGTTTTCTCAGAAATTCTTAGGTTTTAAAAAATTAAGCAATTTTTTAAAAATGTCATTAAACTTTTTATGATGAAATGTTTACTGGTTTTCCTTAAATTCTACAACACAAACTTTAAGTATTAAGTAAAATTTAAGTAAGTTTGCTCTCAGTTAATTAGCTATCATATTAAATTAACCTAGCTCTTTAACTCAGGTTTCTAGAATGAACCCTAGAAGTTCTTCTCCTTTCTAAATACTAAGAAAGAGAGTGCATTATTATACCCAGATGTAGAGTGGCCACATGTTCCAATTGCCTGGATAGTCTCAAATTATATACCAGTTTTCCTCGCATAATCATTAATGCCCCATTTCACTCTCAAAGTGTCCTGGTTTGGATAAAAAATTATAAGAGCACCCCACTTCTAGAACTAAAGAGACTGGTGTAAGACACCAATGACCCTCAACCATTTATCTATGTATGACCAATTTTTATTTTCTTAGTAATTGCACAACTCTGGTCACTGAAAATGCCTTACAAACATGTTCCATACTACTGATCATTTAAAGGAATAGATTTTTTTTTAATAAAGTAAAATGACATAAGATAACCAGTTTTTTTTTCTATAGTCTATAAATTAGTTAAAAAAAACCAAAATATATCTCTCAGTTCTTTGACTGTGATGCCTTAGAAGAATTCTAGACTCAGGGCTTAAACAAAGATAGTTAAAATAAAATCTTACCTTTTCTGGGCTTAGAAGAGCTTACATCTTCATAAAATTATAAGATGTGTATAAAACTAAATTTTTGTCAAATTCCAAATTTTAAAAATAGAGGCATCAAAAAATTATCACACTTATGTCATTTTTTAAGCTATGGAAGACAATAATCATGATTTGGAATGTGGTAAAACACTACAGAATGAATTCTTAAAGATCAACTTTTTTCTAGCATGTATAAAGATAACTAACACTAATCAATTTCAGTAACTTTGTGTTCTCATTTTAAGTATATATACACATTAATGAGGTAAATGAATCTAGCTCAGATATAAGGAATTGGCATTTGGTAGAAAGAAAATGCCTAGACAGACCTGGATTTAAATCCAGTCTTGGTTTCTTACTGTGTGGTCTTGGATAAGTTACTTAATATCTCTGAGCTTCGTTTTCCTTATTTGCAAAATGGGGATAAGGACATCTGTCTCACAGAGTCCCTGTGAGGATAAAATGAGATAAAGTATAGCAAGTATCAACCATGGTGCCTGGCATATAATAGGTAACCAACATTAAAAGGCAATTAACATCCTTCAAACTACTGGAAGGCAGGAAACAATGCACATTATTCCCTTACACTGGGATAGATTTAAAATGAAAACACATCAGATACAGATTTGGGCCGATGTAACTCTGAGTTATACAGATACATATCTCAGGTTTTTCCTAACAAACCTTCATTTGTATCTCCAATTAACATAGCTAATAGTCACCTTGTTGTGAGCAACCACTTTGAGGGCAAAAGTTGCCAAATAAAGTGAATTCATGACAAAACTGAGTTGATTACGGGATTCTTCCAAAAAGTCTTCCAACCCTTCATACCAGAGTCTTTTAATGTCTGACCAAATCATCCCTAAAAAAAGGAAGGAAAAAAAATCAAATAATGCTCTTAAATCAATAATAAACTGAAGACTACTTTAAAACTCAAGATATTAAATAAACAACACTTGTATCAGCTATAGCTTCATTCAAAAGAAAAAATAACTTTTTAGTAAAAAGTTCTCAAAATTTGAAAGAAAATAACTATGTTTTATATGACAATATTTTTCTCATAGAAGAATTTTAATAAATGTGAAACAAGCATAAGAAAACAAACTGATGCTATACACACACACACACACACACACACACAGGCTCAGTTCCTGATTCTTTTCTTTTCTCTATTATGCTCACTCCTACAGTGACCTCATCCAGTCTAATCTAATGGCTTTAAATACCATCTATGGGCAGATTTTCAAATTTATCTCTCTAAACTCAATCTGTATTTATAGAATTAATATCTCTAACCCTCTCTCCTAAATTCAACTTGTATACGAACTTGACTACTCTACATCCCCAATGGGATGTCCTAACATATCCAAACTGAACTCTTAATCTCTACCCCCAAATTCACTGTACCTTGAAGTCTTCCCCTCTCAGTGATAGAAACTTCATCATTCTAGTGGCTCAATCCAAATTTCCTTGAATCATCCTTGACTCTTATTTCTTTTAATCCACACATTCAATGCAACAGCAAATCCTGTTGGCTCTACTTTCAAAATATATTTAGAATCTAACCCTTGTCACTATCTCTTCAACTTCAAGCAACCATCCTGTCTAGCCTGGATTACTGAAATAGCCTACCTGGTCTCCCTGCTTTTATCCTTGTCTCCTTAAAAGCTATTCTCAACTCAGCAACCAGAGTAGTCCTTGTAAAAAATGCAAGTGTTGAGGCTGAGGTCGAAGAGGTTGCTGCCTGTGTTCTCCTCTAGGATTTTCATGGATTCCTGTCTCACACTTAGGTCTTTCACCAATTTTAACTACTGGGACTTAATCAGGATAAAAAGCTCTTGCACAACAAGGGAAACAGTCAACAAAACCAAAAGACAACCAACAGAATGGGAGAAGATATTTGCAAATGTCTTATCAGATAAAGGGCTAGTATCCAAAATCTATAAGAACTAATCAAACTCAACACCCAAAGAACAAGTAATCTAATCAAGAAATGGGCAGAAGACATGAATAGACATTTTTCCAAAGAAGACATCCAAATGGCCAACAGACACATGAAAAAGTGCTCAACATCGCTCGGCATCAGGGAAATCCAAATCAAAACCTCAATGAGATACCACGTCACACCAGTCAGAATGGCTAAAATGAACAAGTCAGGAAACGACAGATGTTGGTGAGGATGCGGAGAAAAGGGAACCCTCCTACACTGTTGGTGGGAATGCAAGCTGGTGTGGCCACTCTGGAAACCAGTATGGAGGTTCCCCAAAAAGTTGAAAATAGAGCTACCCTATGACCCAGCAATTGCACTACTAGGTACGTACCCAAAGATACAAATGTAGTGATCTGAAGGGGAACCTGTACCCCAATGTTTATAACAGCAATATCCACAATGGCCAAACTATGGAAAGAGCCCAGATATTCATCGATAGATGACTGGATATAAAAGATGTGGTAGGGATGCCTGGGTGGCTCAGATGGCTAAGCGTCTGCCTTCAGCTTAGGTCATGATCTCAGTGTCCTGGGATCGAGTCCCGCATCGGGCTCCCTGCTCAGTGGGGAGCCTGCTTCTCCCTCTCCCTCTGCCTGCTGCTCCCCCTGCTTGTGCTCTCTCTCTATACATATCTCAGACAAATAAATAAAATCTTAAAAAAAAAAGATGTGGTGTAAATATACAATGGAATATTACTCAGCCATCAAAAAATGAAATCTTGCCATTTGCAATGGCATGGATGGAACTAGAAGATATTATGCTAAGTGAAATAAGTCAATCAGAGAAAGACAATTATCATATGATCTCACTGATATGTGGAATTTAAGAAACAAAACAGAGGATCATAGGAGAAGAGAGGAAAAAATAAAACAAGACGAAACCAGAGAGGGAAACAAACCATAAGAGAGTCTTAATCATAGGAAATAAACAGGGTTGCTGGAGGGGAGGTGGAAGGATGGGGTAACTGGGTGATGGACATTAAGGAGGGCATGTGATATAATAAGCACTGGGTATTATAAAGACTGATGAATCACAAACCTGTACCTCTGAAACCAATAATACATTCTATGTTAATAAAAAAAAATTGTAGAGAACTGAAATATCTAAATAAATAAAATTAACAATAAATAAAGTTCACTTACTAGCTCTCTTATCAAAAAATCAAACAGTGGCGTCTGGCTGGCTCAGTAGGTTAAGCATCTGCCTTCAGCTCAGGTCATGATCCCAGGGTCCTAGGATCGAGCCCCGCATCGGGCTCCCCGCTGAGCTTCTCCCTCTCTCTGCCTGCCACTCCCTCTGCTTGTGCGCTCATACTCTCTATCAAATAAATAAATAAAATCTTTAAAAAAAATCAAATAAAGATAACACCTCATAATGGTGCTTAACTGCCAAAAAAAAAAAAAAAAAAGAAAGAAACCTAGAATTCGGTTGTGTGGTCCTTCCACTCCATCCTAAGTGTAAACTTACCCCAGATCTCTTTTCCCTTGCTACTGGGTATATGTTTTATACTGATCCAATAAACCATGTGATTTGAGCATCAAAAAAAAAAAAAAAAAAAAACAATGCAAGTGTTACTTCCCTTCTCAAAACTCTGAAGTAACTCCCAGAGGAGATAAGGATTAACTACAGGTCTGAACTCTTTCTCCACGGGAACACAACCTATGTTACTGTCTATTAAAAGGGTTTCCTTGGAAACATACTACATTAAGAAAAATACGGAAGGTCAGCTGTGTTCAACATTGTTATAAAAACAACACTGATTGGGGAATTGCATCTGGACTGGGAGGACTCTAAGTGGACTCACAAGCCCTGAAGGTATACACAGCCAAGCCTATAAAAAGACATGTTGAAACTGATGAATCACTGAACTCTACCTCTGAAACTAATAATACCCTATATGTTAATTGAATTTAAAGAAATTTTAAAAAATAATTCGTAACTGAAGTATATAATAATATCATATATATAAAATCTAGTTTCTCTATGGGCTGTTTGACTACTTATTTGTCCATTCCCCAACAGTATTTTTTGTTACATTAGTGTTATGATTAATATGAGTGTTCCAATTTTGCTATTAAAAAAATCATTGTCTATATGATTTCCTGGAGTACTTTGAATATGGTAGCTTCTAATATACCTAGTAAGTTTACAGGATGGTGAATCTTTACAATGTCAACTCATCAGTCAACAGTGTGTGTTTCTTTATTGACTTTGTGACATTTAAAACATTTTTATCTATAATCTTCTTAATAGATTTTTTAAAAAAGACATATTGAGAAACACAGGCCTCCGCTTCTCTGTGTGATGTCTCTCTTCACTCAAGAGTGTGCTTGCAGTGGGAGGAGCTACACTCTTGGGCTTTATGAGGTAGTGCTGCTGCTAGATTTGAGGCTTCTCTAGTTGGGGTAGCCCACGCCCATCCCGTACAACTGAATATGCCCATAATGGGGCTGGGAAACAGCCCCAGACTTTTGTAAGAATTGCCAATAAAGAGAAATTTGAAGCTATAATGTTGTACTTTCCTGTCTTGTACCCTTCTACCAAGCTAATAAGTAAACCAGGGCCAGGTTCCCACCTATTGTGTACTGCGAGTGTGAATGTCAACGAGGACCCAGGATCACTGTTGTTGATTGTGCAGAGTGGGTGCCGCACCTTCCCTTTTATCTCATGTCACTCAGAGTCAAAAGTAATTTCTTTATCATGACCTGCAAGGCCCTATATCACTTCTCCCCTCTGGCATTCTCTCCTATCCATCTTTCCTTTCACTACTTGTCACACTGGCCTCTTTGCTTCCTTGCCATCCTCTGAACACACAAGGCTTCTGCGTTAGGGTGTTTACATCAGCTCTTCCCTCTGATTGGAAGCTCCTCACCCAGATATCCATTTGATTAACTCCTTTACTTCACGTCTTTGCTTACCACCTACTCTGATCATCCTATTAATAAATTGCAAACCCCATGTCCTCCACTCCCAACTCCCTAACTCTGCTTCTATCTTTCTTTTCCCTTAGTACTTAACACTTTTAAACATTGGGTATAGTGTACTTATTATGTCTATTATTAACTGACTTTATTCACTCCACTTAGAGGAAACTCTTCAAGAGTAAGAATTTTTGTTTTTATTAACCAATGTCCTAAATGTCCTGGATGGCTCCTAATACATAGTGGGTACTCAAAAAATGTGCTAAATGAATAAATATACACAAATAAAACCCAAACAAACAAAAATCCTTTCCCCCTTTTTGACCAGAAATTCCTCCATAATTAATATATTCCTAGGAGTACCAGAGAACAATATTATATTCTAGGATAGTTTTATGATAAATTCTTTCATAAGATCTTTTTAAGGAGAATATACAGTAATAAAAAAAAATAGAGTGCTGCAACATAACATATGGGCAGAGATCAAGTTAAGCCAGTCAGAATCATCCTCTGGCTTACCAATAGGCAGAATAATTCCCCTAGGAAGCACATGAAGCATTCTTGAAAAATTGTTTATAACATCTTAATTACACAGTACCCATATTTTATGCAGAAAACCATTTTTAAATATTTGCAGATCTGACAGGGAAAATACATAAAAATTCCACTTAGATGAGCTTCTATTTAAAGTGAATACATAAAAACTATCTGAAAATGTTAAACCAAACATTCTTTTTTTTAACTCAAATACTGTACCACTGAAACATTAAACCAAAACAGATGCTTACAGAAATAAGTGTTTTATTTCTGTAAAATGCAATATTATAACTAAAAGGAATTCTTGACAACAATTACAAAAGGAATTGGACAAGATTTTTGATTGAAAAAAAAAAAAGGCAGGGGGGCCTGGGTGGCTCAGTTGTTAAGCATCTGCCTTCAGCTCAGGTCATGGTCCCAGGGTCCTGGGATCGAGCCCCACATGGGGCTCCCTGCTCTGCGGGAAGTCTGCTTCTCCCTCTCCCACTCCCCCTGCTTGTGTTCCCTCTCTCACTGTGTCTCTCTCTGTCAAATAAATAAATAAAATCTTAAAAAAAAAAAAAAAGGCAGACATGTGAAAGAACAGTGAGTACCATTGTCAGGTGGTTTCCCATCTTCTGCGCAACACCCCACAACAAAATGAAGCTAATACACTTGACGTATTTGATATTTCTGAATTGAATTAAGAGAACAAAATAATTTTAGACTATTATAATCAGTACATTCACTAGCCAATGTACTATATTTTAGGGTCTTTTTTGTTTTTATTTTTTTTAGAATTAGTAACCAATACTATAAGCTGTAATCCCATCATTTTGGGATTCCTCAAGGCCTGCTCCTACATCCTCTATTCTCATTTTATACTTTCTCAAGTGTCTCATTCATGCCCATAATTTCATATACAACCTATATGCAGATTATTCACACATTGCTAACTCAAGTTTAAACTTCCTCTTGAGTTCCAGCCGATGATGTCTAATTGTCTTTTAGATATCTTGAAATCTTTTTAATTTCAACGTATCCAAAGCCACAGTCAGGATCTACTCTCACAAATATCAAAACCAAGTACTCTTCCAAAATACCTACACTGCTTAATAAACTCACTCTTCCTCACCTCCTATATACTGTGTATTTCCATGCCCTATTGACCTTACTTTGTAAGTATCTCTCAAATCTGTTCCCTACTCTCTTTTTCTATCATAACCACCCTAAGTCCAAGGTACCATCAGCTTTCATCTGCAACAGCCTCCTTCTGGTCTCCCTCCATCCACTCTTGCCACACCCCTATCCTCCTAACCATTCTCTACTATAGCCAGAATGATTTTTTCAAAAGCAAATCTGAAATACAAAAACAAAAAACCAAAAGGCAAATCTGATCATGTCACTCCAATCCTTAAAAATTTCAATGGTTTTCCAATGTTCTTAGCATAAACTCAAAATTACTTAACATGGCCCACAAGCCTGTCCATGGCCTGAAGTACCATCCATTTCTACAGCTTCATCTTGGATTTTGCTTCTCTTGTTCTCTCTGCTCCAGCCTTTACTCAATACCTTCTTTGTGCCACACTCCTTCTTGCCATGGTGCCTCTGAACATAATTTTTAGATCAGCCTAGAATACACTGTCTTAGTTGACTTTTTTATTTTTTAGACCTAGCTCATTTATCAGTTCCTCAAGAAAGCCTTTTCCTAACTTTCCTGACTCGGCAGGATGCCTTTATAATATGCTTGCTCTCCTAGCTCCATGACCTTTACTTAGCAGCACTTAACTCGTTTGTGCTTTTTCATTTATCTGTGCAATTTTCAAGTTATTGGGGTTTTGCCTTAATTAGACCATAAGCTCCATGAGTGCTGTACCATATCTCAGTTTTGCCTGTGTTTGGACAAAGTAGATATACAAAATTTTTAAAAATATATTTTTAGGGGCACCTGGGTGGCTCAGTCAGTTAAGCATCTGCCTTCAGCTTAGGTCATGATCCCAGGGTCCTGGGATGGAGCCCCACAACCGGCTTCCCTGCTCAGCAGGGAGCCTGCTTCTCCCTTTCCCTCTGCCTGCTCTTCTCCCTGTTTGTGCTCTCTCTCTCTCTGTCAAATAAATAAATAAATAAAATCTTTAAATATATATATATATATATATATATTTTGTACTAGCTGTTCTATTATATTCTAAGAGTAAAAAATTAAGTAAAAGGATACCGCTAATATTCTGTGCATTCATCAACACATTATTTCCATTTACCTATGTGTTTTTTATAATTTAACCCTACTTTTCTTGGAAAGCTAAGGAAAAGAACAAGAAACAAATGTACAAAAGTCAGCTATCGTGAGTCAAAAGTCACTGTGTTCACTGCGTGAAATAATACATTGAATGAGAAAGTGCCTTTAGATAAGCAGGCCAGTGATTCCTACATGTTTCCTTAGAGCAAGTTCAGATCTATATATCTAAGGTAACCCAGAGTGATCTAATTACATAACAGGCTTAGAAGATGTCCTTGGCAAGGTTTATTCAGATCTATTGGTTTCAAAGCAGAAGCTGTGCTGAGAAAAGTAAAATACTTCCAGGAATTTTACTAGCTTAATGCATATTACACTCTTCTACTGAAGCAGAATATGGTTAGAAAATTAATCATATTGTATGTGCATGAATATTCAATAATGTCATTGAAAATAGGGCCATCATGATTAAAAGGAGTAGCAATAGTTTTACCATTATTATGAAATTTCATCACAGCAGCAATATTTACACTATCCAAAGAGTGGTATAACTCTGAGTTCAATAAGCTTTTACTCACTGCTAAGAAATATAAATTTTAACTTGATCCTACACAGACTTAGGAAACCTAAATCTTACTTACAAAACAAAGAAAAGATTCTTTCTCATGACTATTTAAACAATAGTTTACAGATAAATGATATAAAATTTCCTTTATTACTAAGATATATAACAATCTTTCAGAAGTATTTTAAATGAATAGAGGGGAAAAAGTGCTTCTTAGAGATTCCATTCAGTATAATATTTTTTAACCCATTCAAAAAACAATATAAACAAGTTTCACACTAGAAAGCTCTATAATGATGCAATTTGGAATTACATATGATAAAGTATAAATTACTTCCTAAATTAAAATATTAAGTTTTAGATTAAATAGCAGAAATACAGGAGAGAAAAATATTAACAAGAAGAAATTATTTAATTCCCTTTAACCTAGAATCCAGATGTGTTATTTTTACTTTATCTACCTAATTTTAAATGTTAATGCACAATGGATTGAATACTGCTAAAAGTAAAACTCTGATTTAAATCAAGTTGCTTGAAATGAACTAACTTCCAAATTAAAATTAAAATTCCAAAACATGCAAATTATTTTTATAGCTGAAGGAGAACTAAAAGTGAAAATGATACATTAATTTTCTCAAAATTATTTAATGGTTAAATCAATAAAGAACATATTGATCAATCAGTGTTTTATGCCATAGAAAATACTAAATTTTAATATCCCTTAACTCTATAGCAAAGAGCAAAAAGACAGGTGAGAAATACTGAGTTTAAAAACAAGGTTAAAAAAGTAAACAATCAATAAAACTAAAAGGCAACCTATGGAATGGGAGAAGATATTCACAAATGATATATCAGACAGATAAAGGGCTAGTATCCAAAATCTATAAAGAATTTATCAAACTCAACAGCCCCCCAAAAAAATCCAGTCAAGAAATGGGCAGAAGACATGAACAGACATTTCTCCAAAGAAGACATACACATGGCCAAGAGACACATGAAAAAATGGTCAACATCATTCAACATCAGGGAAATACAAATCAAAACCACAATGAGATACAACCTCACACTGGTCAGAATAGCTAAAATTAACAGCATGGAGGTTCCTTAAAAAGTTAAAAATAGAACTACCCTACAACCGAGCAACTGCACTACTACGTATTTATCTAAAGGATGCAAACATAGTGATTGGAAGGGGCACATGCACCCCAATGTTTATAGTAGCAATGTCCACAATAGCCAAAATATGTAAAGAGCCCAGATACCCATCAACAGATGAATGGATAAAGAAGATGTGATATACAGATATAGATAGATAATGAAATATTATTCAGCCATCAAAAATAATGAAACTTTGCCATTTGCGATGACATGAATGGAACTAGAGGGTATTATGCTAAATGAAATAAGTCAGTTAGAGAAAGACAAATACCATATGATTTCAGTCGTATGTAGAATTTTTTTAAAGATTGATTTATTTGAGAGAGAGAGAGAGCATGCAAGCAAGTGCAGGGAGGGGCAGAGGGAGAGGGAGAGAGAAGCCTTAGCAGACTTCTTGATGAGCTCAGAACCCCATGTGGGGCTCGATCTCATGACCCTGAGATCATGACCCGAGCTGAAACCAAGAGTCAGTCGTTTAACCGACTGCGCCACCCAGGGTCCCCTCACTCATATGTGGAATGTAAGAAACAAAACAGATGAACATAGGGGAAGGGAAGGAAAAATAAAATAAGATAAAAACAGAGAAGGAGGCAAACCATAAGAGACTCTTAACTATAGGAAACAAACTGAGGGTCGCTGGAGGGGAGGTGGGTGGGGGGGATGGGGAAATTGGGTGATGGGTATTAAGGAGGGCACTTGATGTAATGAGCACTGAGTGTTATATGCAACTGATAAATCACTAAATTCTACCCCTGAACCTAATAATACACTATGTGTTAACTAAATTGTATTAAAAAAAAGACTGAAGATACATAGGGAAATAAAGGAGATGTCATTAAAAGACCATAAATAGACAATGTGATTGTATCTCAACTCTCTTCCATCCCCCACAAAAAAAGGGCAAGAGCTGTAAAAACTGCAGGTCATTTAAAATATTTATCATACAGCATAATACTTATAAAAAACAATTTTCAGAAAATAAAGTATCTTATATTTAAAAACCCTGTCATGGCTGCCTGGGTGGCTCAGTCATTGGGCGTCTGCCTTCAGCTCAGGTCATGATCCCAGGGTCCTGGGACCGAGCCCTGCAACAGGCTCCCTGCTCGGTGGGAGGCCTGCTTCTCCCTCTCCCACTCCCCCTGCTTGTGTTCCCTCTCTCCCTGTATCTCTCTCTGTCAAATAAATAAAATCTTAAAAAAAAAATTAAAAAATAAAATAAAAACCCTGCCATTTCTAAAGAGATCGGGGTATCATTACAAAGAACTGATTCATATTGAATGAGTCACCAGGGAATCCTTTAAATCTAAATTTAAATAATGTTTCTATAATAAAGATAAAGATGTAACCTCGTAAGTTCATAGGTTCTTAAAAGGAAAACTAATGGTATAATAAAACAAAATAGTTAACTCTTCAAATGCAACAAAGTATAATATATATCACATTTCAAAGTACCTAAGAAAAGATTCATACTCATACCAAAAAAGCATTCATCAGCACAATTTTCCGTGTTTTAATGATAATGAAAAATTTTAGAGACTGAGAATAAAGAATTTCTCACTTCCATGTAATTAAGTAATATTAAATAAGAGATCTGCTGCCTTATCAAGTTCAGGATCATTTATCGTTACAAAAATGTTAGTTAAGTCTTCCATGATCATGAAAGTGTTCAAATTCTTGCTCTGTAAACAGTTGAACACAGATGTTTGTAATGCCACCAAGCAAGGGAGAATTAATGGGCTATATAAAAGCAGATTCTTTTGAATAAACTTGACACTTACCAATAATCCACAGTATAAGTAGATAGTCTATTCTTTCAAGCGCTGGCCCCATTGTGTTTTTCTTATCCTCATTGTAGACAAGAGAGTAGAGGTTTAATAACAGCAGGAATGTGAAATATGATGCTCCATGAATAATAAATTTCATAAAAGGAGTGTGAATGATTCTGCCAAACTGAGATTTGGGAGCTATCAAATAACAAAGTGACAAAACTGGCCAAAAGATGCCAACTGTCAAAACAGTCATTATCTTCTTACAGGTGGGCTTACGTCGGTAACCTGACATCTGCCCAAACCAAACAGTGTTCAGGAACTGCTGGCAGTTAGACTGTGAGACAAACTGGAAAGAACACACACATACACAAAAATAAATAAATATTAATAATTATTAATGAATAATTATTCTGTTAATAATTATTAATAAATACTTAATATCTATAAACATAATTTGATAATACCATTATTTAACTGATATTCAAAGTGTTACTATTTTAAAATCAATTCTATACAGTCCACACAATTTTTTGTTTTTCGTTTTTCTTACATGTAATAAAAGAGTGTAGAGGTTGAGCATAGACTCTGGAGCCAGATTACCTGTTTTCAAATCCAGGCTCTGCCACTTAATAACTGAACCTGAGGAACTCTTTAAACCTCTTTAGGCCTCAAATTTCCCATCTATAAAATGGGGATAATAATAGTCTCTACTCATAAACTTGTTACAAGGATTAAATGTAAAACTCTTAGAATAGTGCCTGATTCATAGCATGTAGTATATAAATATTAATAGCCTACTTAGCCATTTTGCAAAATAAAGACTCTCATAACGTTTGTGAAATTTCAAAGTTAACAACCACAAACCAAAGAAAAAAACTTTTGTCTAGAAGAACTACTGATTTCAGTTATAAGAAACCAAGACACTAAGATAGAAAAGCAATCCAAGTCTAAACATCAGATATATTTATGCTCCATTAAAACATTGAGAATTTCTTAAAATGTATTAAACTCTTAAATCTGCTTAAAACTAAATTCTGTGTAAGAAAAAAAGGAAATAAATTACCAAATAAGAGGGAAATTCTAGTTCAAGTACAGGAATCAATTTATCAAAGTTTACAAAGCTTCTTAGTTTACTGATTTCAGAAGCAGTATTTTCCCAATATAATGCTCATGTTGTGAAGTATAACTTAAGGATTCTGGTAACTGTGGATATAATAATGTGATCAGGTTTGAAATTACCATAGCACAAGTGATCATAATGTCATTCAGATATTAAATACTAATTGGTCAATCTTCTGTTTTAAAATGATTTATCCTGGGCACTAGGTGGCTCAATCCAGTAAGCGTCTGACTCATGATCTCAGGGTCCTGGGATCGAGCCCCGCATTGGGCTCCCTGCTCAGCTTGGAGTCTGCTTCTCTCCCTTTCCCTCTGCCCCTTCCCACTGCTCATGCTCCCTCTCTCTCTCAAATAAATAAATAAAATCTTAAAAAGAAAGAAAGAAAGAAGAAATCTCCTAATATACTATACTTGTTTTTGGCAGTTAAGTCTTAACTTCATTCTTCATTCTTCTGTTCAGATTCCAGTGCTCTTAGGGGATCTTAAATTGTCTCTCAAGATGAAATACTGGGGAGAGAAACAGCTTTTCCTCCTACCAACCACCCAGTTTAGTGGCATCCCAAACTTAGTGGTTTCTCCCTTCCCCCCAATTATCAAAGGACTGCTGTCCTTGCCATTCCTCTATATAATGATGATTTAATTAACAGTAATGTTAAATACGTAATTTGAAGAACAAAATTTCAACTGGAAATGTTTTAAGTCTGTGGTGGTTTTAAAACATTGATACAAATTCTTTGCTACTCTTCTCATCAAGAGGTGCTTATCAATGTTTCATACCCTTCAATTCAACAAAGCTGTGACTGCTTTAATCAGTAAATTCTGGAAGAAGTGATACTATGTGACTTCTGAGGTAGGTTTTAAAAGGCCATGCAGCTTCTACCTTGTTTGAGGAACACTTGCTCTTGGTGCCATTAACTGCCATATAAAGCATCCTACTACCCGAAGTTACCATGCTGTGAGGAAGCCCAGGCTACCTGTAGGCACTCTGGGCAGCCCTCAGAGGCTTCTTAGACTATCTCCTCACAGTCAACCCACCATGATGACCATGCCCCTCTGTGATTCCAGTAGTAAGTGCTCAGGAGGCCCACCCTCTATGGATCCAGCTGGCCCACTCAAGAGCTCCCTGTTGGAGTCCTCAGCAGCTGCTCAGGCTCCAGACATTTGAGTGAAGAAGCCTCCAGATGATTGTAGCCCCCAGGCATCTAAGCTATCTCCAGCTGAGACCCTAGATATAGTGAAGCAAGGACAAATTATCCATCCTTGCTGTGCCCTTTCCTAATTCCTGGCCTACACAATCCAAGAGCATAATAAAATGATTATAAAATTATTATAAATGATTATGAAATACTGTTTTATGCCACTAAGTATCAGGAGTTTGCTATTCAGGACAGATTACCTAAACAAAGTCTACCAACTATTTGGGAAGATATTATCCTCCCCTTTGATCATATCTAGAAATCTAGTTTAAAAAACTACATTTTCATTCATCCTTAAAATTACAGAGTATTTTCCTTTCAAATAAAAATATTACTACTACTTCTTGTTTCCTTTTCTGGCATCTTCTTTAGAATGGAACATTTGGTTACATCTGTGAGTCCTCAGGGTGATATATATATATATATATATATATATATATATATATCAATCATTAGGAAACTGGCTCTTAGTTTTTCCTTCCCTAACCAGGATAATCTCAGGTCTTTCCACCTTTCTTTGAGGTTCTTTTTCCAATCCCTTATATCTTGTTATCTCTTTATTCTATCATTTTCTAGTATTTCATGTCTATTTTAGGTTGTGGAACACAGAAGTAAATAAATTAGCCTAAGGGCGCCTGGGTGGCTCAGTCGTTAAGCGTCTGCCTTCGGCTCAGGTCATGATCCCAGGGTCCTGGAATCGAGTCCCACATCGGGCTCCCTGCTCAGCAGGAACCCTGCTTCTCCCTCTCCCACTCCCCCTGCTTGTGTTCCTGCTCTTGCTGTCTCTCTCTGTCAAATAAATAAATAAAATCTTAAAAATAATTAATTAATTAATTAATTAACCTAAGATCTAGTCAAAATGTATATTAGAGGATGATTATACCAGGGGTTCTATATTGTTTCTATTTATACAGATTAGTATAAGCACACAGGTATGTTGTTGATTTATAATCTTACAGTTACACTGATCCAAAATCTTGTGTATAATTTTTTCCTATAAATGTTTTATCTTAATCAAGAACCTTAGAGTACTAGAAAAAGCATAGGATTTGAAGTCAGAAATCTGGATAAGTGACATACCATGTAGGTAATGTTAAACACCTTAAAATTCCTGTACCAATTTCCTGAGTCACAAAACCATTGTGAGGCTCAAATTTTCAACCAAAATAATACAAAATTCTGCCTGGCACCAAAGGTCCTATATCTTGCCTTCCACAATTATTTGTCTCAGGTCCCATTTTTATATTAATACAAATCTGATAAGCAAGTTTTATTCTAACATCTATATTAATAATAAAAATAATGGGCCTTAAGGATGTCTGGGTGGCTCAGTTGGCTGAGTGTCCAATGAGTTTGGCTCAGGTCATGATCTCAGGGTCGGGAGATTGAGCCCTGCAATGGTTCTGCACTAAGTGCAGAGTCTGTCCCTCTCCCTCTGCCCTTTCCCCTGCTTGTGTTCTCACTCTCTTGTGCTCTGTCTCAAATAAATAAATCAAATCTTTAAAAAAAAAATAATGGGTCTTAGAAAAAATATCTTAAAAGTATCATTTACCAATACCTCATACTATCAACTGGATATCATTACCTACATATAAACACCCATAGTTAGTAAATTATTTCAAAAAATGAAATTTAAAATGCATACCTTCCTTCTTCAAGTTCCTGAATCATGTATTGTGTGTGTGTGTGCACGCGTGCGTGTGTGTGGGAGGGGATTAGAAATAGGTATTATTTCCCTTAATAAGAAGAGATGATGCCAGTAGAGCCAGATTCAACTTAGTTATCATATCATATGCTTCTCCACCTTTGGGTTTCGATGAATTAACAAGAACCAGGAAACACAGTATCTGATACTTTATTTTTAAATAGAAAGGAACTATTACTATAGAAAGCGCTATTTATAACCAAATCAACAAAACAAACCTACGATGACAAAACACAAGATGGAAACATCATTGTGAAAGTACTTACTATACAAAATCTTACCTCAATAGCTACTACTTGGCAAAATATTAAATCAACATCCATATTATTATTATAATTAATATTGTTAAAAGCAACTTGTGTCAACAATACTTCAATTTTTTAAGAAAAGGAAAGTAGTAAAACTGTGAACCAAAAAATAATAATAATAGCAACTGCCATTTATTCAAATATTTGCTTAATGCCATACTCATTGTACTAAACTTTTAAAGTACATATCCTTGGGGTGCCTGGGTGGCTCAGTCGGGTAAGCATCTGCCTTTGGCTCAGGTCATGATCCCAGGGTTTGGGGATTGAGCCCCACATTGGGCTCCCCACCCAGCAGGGAGTCTGCTTCTCCCTCTCCCTCTGACCCTCATCCCAGTTCATGCTCTCACTCTCTCTCTTAAATAAATAAATAAAAATCTTTTTAAAAAAGTGATAGTACAGTACATATCTTTAATTCTTAATTGCTCTGAACCACTGTGGAGGAAATAATTCTTTTTTAAGAGATTTATTTATTTATTTTATATAGAGAGAGAGGCCTAGCAGGAGGGGCAGAGGGAGGGAGAGAGAACCCCAAGTAGACTCCACACTGAGCGAGGAGGCTGGCTCTATCTCACGACCCTGAGATCATGACCTTGAGCGGAAACCAAGAGTCAGACACTTAACTGACTGTGCCACCCAAGCACCCTGGAAATAATGTATATATATCACAGAAAACCTCATACCTCCTTTTGGTTATATTTGATAGCAAGTTTTAGACGACTTAAATTCATTCTTTCTTCTAGTAATCCCCGTTTGTCAAGAGGCTCATCACTAGATGTATGGTTTAGGATAACTTCCAATTCTCGTGAATTCCGGGCTTGTGCAAGCAAATCTTTAGCAAACATCTTACATTGTCGGGCTAGCTCCTCATAATCATTCCTGCAAAATGCAACAGTTTATTATTAGAAATGTCATTTCCAACTTCTAATTAAGCTTTTTTCAATAGAAAATTATTTACTCAGTAACATTTTAATTCTGATAGGGCTATACAAAATCTGAAGTCATTTTGTGCTGATGGTCAAAAGAACCTACTGGTGCATAAATTCTCTGTAGCTCTGGGGAAAACTCTAACACAATTATGTTCTCTGTGTTTCACACTGATAATTTTAGATGAGTACAGTATTTCTTTATATATACTGATATTCCTAGAAATTCGGATTATAGTTGTCAACCAGTTATTAACTCATTTGCCCTTATTCTCTATAAGTTTGATATAAAACTTCCTTTTATCTGACTTATCTAAACAATAGATAATAATAATGCTATCCAATAAATATTACTATGTAACTTTTAATGAGAGATGTTTTCAAAATAGTCTACAACATGTTGTATGCTACTTCTGATATTAAAATAATATTCTGATTCACTTTAAAGTGTTCATTTGAACAAAAGTCAAGTTGGAAAGAAAAGATGATGAAATACTCCTAGTAAAGAATTTTCTTTCATAATCACTACTCCTTGAAATTTAGGATTTAACTGCTGGTTAAAGATAGGCCTAAATCAACCAACTTGTGAGAAATTAAGAAGTTTTAATAGATAATCCTCTTTAAGAACATCAATTACATTAAAATTACATCTGAGTATAACTTGAAAATAAAGTTAGAAATAAATATGAGTCAACTGAGGTCAGATTTCGGAAAATAATTTTATTCAGTTTTTTTTCTCCTTACTGGGAAAGGAAGGGAAAACAGAAAAATTTCCCAATGATTAATCATCTATACAATGGGATTTTCCCTGAACAGAAAATTATCACTCAAAGAATTAAAAACTTTTCCTTAGAGGCTAACATTTTTCTCATCTACTCTTTGCATTTACTATATAACCAAAACTACCTAAGAATAAGTAATTGGATTTCTTTAACAAATGAAGTATTACTGCTTCTTAGTCTAGGAATCTAATTACAGATGAGAATATTCATCAAAAGTGTGTATTATTACAAAGAGGTCTCATCTTTAGGTAAACACTGACAGACCACTAAATTCAGTAAAATTAATATATTCTATTAATCTAATTTTCTTAATCTTTAACAGATTATTAGAAGACTAATAAGTGGCTATATAGTTTAGATGGAAATATAGTAGACTAGAAGCCAGGAGTCCCATGTTCTAGTTATAACTTTCGCTAACTCTGTTCCTAATTAGATGCTGATATCAGTAAGATATCTAACCTATAAAGATCACCTTCCTTGTCTACAAAAACAAGGGGATTGAAGTAAATGGATTCTATGATCTATGTTCAAAATCTAACTTTATTATCCTATGATTACAGAATAATCATAGCAGTTGCTTCAAATCCTTTTTGGAAGGAGCTGAACGAATTCTATTTTATAAGGTAACAGAACTCCAATTATAAGATTATAATAGGAAGTTCTTCAGATTTAAAAGGAATAATTTATTAACAGCCTCATATGCTAATAAGTTAAAAGTAGCAACAAGTTACATTTTAACCATGTCTTATGTGTTTCTCAAAGTATATACTTGATGTCATATCAAGTTTAAATAAATTTTAACTTATCCAAATTGAAATAAAGGAGTTCCATACTTGAAAACTTATAAACAGGTATATTTAAAAAGTTTCTAGAACTCAGCTATCAAGAACACACTATAAACTGCTGTTAAGGCATAAGAAAACCAAGCTTCTTATTGGCCTTGCAGGAAGAAGTTTGAATCTTTCCATCTTGTCAAGTCACGAGAGGAGTGCAATGCAAAGGCATGGGGCTCCCACAGCAGCTAGACTTAAAAGGAAAGGTAGAAATAGGTATTACCTGCTCCCCAGAAACTTCACAGCAGGAACTGGCAAGAAATGATCAATTTCTCCTTCTTTGGGGGGCACCAGGGATACTTTAACATAAGGGAAAATCTCAAAGCTTTTCCTCAAGTCTTCGAAATGTAGTTTTCTAAGGACTTCTATTTTTTTAATGTTTAAATTAGTAGTTTAATAGGCTGCTTTTTCCAGAGCCTTTTTTTTGTCCCCCCAACTTAACTCTCCAAGGGAAATTGATAACAATGATTCTTTGTGTCAAAATTACATTTAACTCTTCATTTCAGAAGAATACTCAGAATGGGATTCATCCCTCTTAATCAGTAGTATTTTATTTTTTATGTCTACATGTTATGTGTCTCCTAATAGAAAATCTCACCAAACAGTGAAAAGGGACTATGTCTGTGTGTGTGGAATGTCCCTGACACACAGAAAGCATTTTATATGCTTCTGAAAGTTATGAAGGATCAGGCTCTCAGGATGATTATAGTATCTGGGAATGAGGGGAGGTAGAATAGAGAGCAAATAACAAATTTGCTCTGGCTTAAGGTTGCCACTCCCCCTACTCTTCACCCTTAGAACTCCTTTGGTAACATTAAACAAAGGGGGAATTTAACGATGGTGCAAGAATGGCAAAGGGCAGTTGGGGAAAGAGTGACCTAAGTAACATCAAAGTCTATTCCATTGAGCCTGAAGGAAAATCCCAAGTAGGTGGCAGCAAGGTCTGGTCATCTTGGATCAAAAGAAAATAAATGTAAACATGAATTTGGTTCATGAAAAAAAACTCAGGTTGAAGGGATTCTGGAAAAAAGGACATAATTTACAATTTCCACTCATTCCCACCTGAATTCCACCTCCACAAGGCTTAATTCTTTTAAATCAGCACTAAGTTCAAATGCTCTCAGAATTGGATCCTCCTCTGTTAACATTATTAGAGCTGGACTGGCCAAACAGCGATATATATCAAGACGAAACCTGTGATAAAATTTGATTCCATAATGTAAAATAAATGGATTGTACACATATAATTAGTATTTTCAACCTACAATTTTCATAAATTTAAAATTAAAATACTATAAAATTAAAAGAAAATAAAACAACTATAATATACTTAGGATAACTACATAAAAAGAAAAAGACTTAAAAAATAAGTCTTTGTATTTTTCAATCCAATTTAATTAAAAAATTTCTCTTCCTGAACCCAATATTATTTTAAATGAAATAGGGTAGTAACTAATACATTTTGAATATGATGTGAATGGTTATTAAATTTTTCCTTCCTCAGTGATAAGACTACATTAATATGCTAGGTATGTATAACACATGACTCGCTCAACCAGGTTGTTTTTTAAAGATGTTTCAAATCTTAAGAATGAAATCATTCATTTATGCATAATCTCCAGCTAACAGAAGATCACATTCCTTTACCTTCTGTAAACTAGTTAAGGTTCACATTCAATACCTAAATAGGAAGCAAACCAGAAAATTTTTGCTATAATTCTTTCATTTATAAACATATACTTCTTAATTTATAAATTTGATAGATATTATATAACATATTTTCTCCCAAACATAAATACATGCTTGTTATTAAAAAAAGCAAGCAGTTTAGGGGCGCCTGGGTGGTTCAGCCGGTTAAGCGTCTACCTTCAGCTTAGGTCATGATCCTGGGGTCTGGGATCGAGCCCCACATCAGGCTCCCTGCTCAGCGGGAAGCCTGGTTCTCCCTCTCTCTCTGCCTGCTGTTCCCCCTTCTTGTGCTCTCACTCTCTCTCTGTCAAATAATTAAGTAAATAAACAAATAAAGAAAGCAAGCAATTTAGAAACTTGATGGTCCCCAGTTCTCCTCCTTTCACCAACTCTACTCCTCAAAGAATGGTCACTTACAGAGAGTTGTGAATATCCTTGATATTTTCGATTCACACACAAACATAATCAGACATACTATATAAAGGAACAACTCCTTCTATGTCACTACATATAGAGTCATGTCATTTTTTCCCAAAACTGGATGGTTTCCCATTTGATGGCATCTCATCAGATCTCCAAAAATGGAAATTTCAGTTGCTTCTAATTTTTTACTTCTATAAATATCACAGCAATGAATATTCTTTAATTCATATATTCTCTGCACTTAGAATTGCTGGATAAAATGGCATGTGTATTTTAAATTCTAATAGCTGCTTCCGAAGCACTAACAATAAGGAGAGCTCATTTTCCCTTACATCATCATTAGTATTTTGCCACTCTAAGAGATGAAAAATGGAATTTTATCTGAATTTCTTTAGAAGTTTAAGCGTCCTTTCCTGTTTACTATCGATGTATACTATTTCTGTAAACTGTTTATTTTCATTAGCCTATTTTTCTGATAATTGTTTATTTTTTAAAATCAATTTGTAAGATCTACATATCAAAGAAATTAGCCCTTTGTCTAGTGAAAGCCTTTTAAATACTTTTCTCCCAATTTATTGTTTGTCTGCATTTCCCAACTAACCCAGAGATTCACCAGGAGACAGTAGAACTCTTAAAGGCTCAGAGTGTATTAGCATAAACTTTACCCAAATCAGTGGCTCACCTATACAGACCCTGAAATGACCCTTAGGAATCAAGGCTAAAAAATAAAAATAATCAGGGGCGCCTGGGTGGCTCAGTAGGTTAAGCATCTGACTCTTGGTTTCAGCTCAGGTCATGATCTCATGGGTCGTGGGACTGAGCCCTGCATCCAGCTCTGCACTCAGCAGAGAGTCTGCTTGAAGATTCTCTCCCTCTGCCCCTCCCCCCATCACATGTGCACTCTCTCTCTAAAATAAATTTTTAAAAAAATAAGAATCAAAAACTAAATTAGGCACAGAGATCTACAATTGTACATTACAGGGAGACAGATTTTGTAGGCCAGAAAAATAATAATAAAAAAAAATCTTAGAAAAGTAAAACAGTATTCATACTTGCTACAATATATACTAGACGGTCCAGATTTCACACAAAGACATACTAGATGTGCAAGAAAAAGTCAAGCTGTGCTTCACTGAGGAGCAACATCAGAGGGGTAAAATAGACTTCACAAAAATAATCCAGCCAGACAGGTAACAGAAACTGCCTTTGAGAGTGACCAGAATTCAGATTTAACAGAAAAAGATTTCAAAGTAGCCATTATAAATATATTCACAAAACTAAAGGAAGTATGATTAAAGAAGTAAAAGAGAGCATGATGACAATGTTACCTCAAGCAGAGAATATCAATACAGAAACATAAATTATGAAAAAGAACAAAATGGAAATTATGGAATTGAAAAGTACAACAACTAAAATTTACAGTTCACTAGAGGGGCTTGTAATAGGTTGGGCTGTGTCCCCCTAGAGTTCACATGTTGAAGTCTTATCCACTAGTACCTCAAAATGTGAACTTATTTGAAGACAGGGTCTTTAAAGAGGTAAACAAGTAACAATGAGGACATTAAGGTGGAACTAAATCCAATATGATTAGTGTCCTTATAAAAAATTTGGGGTATTGTGAAGACAGGAATACATACAGAGAGAATACCATCTGAACATGAAGATGGCCACCTACAAGCTGATGACAAGAGGCCTGGAACAGAATCTTCCTTCACAGCCCTCAGAATAAACCAACCTTGCCAATACCTTGATTTTGGATTCCTAGGCCTCAGAATTGTAAGACAATAAATTTCTGTTGTGTAAGTCACCCAGTGTGGTATCTTATTATGTTAGCCTTAGCAAAATAATGCAGGGCTCAACAGTAGATCTGAACTTGCAGGAGAAAGAACTACCAACCTTGAAGATATATCGATAGAGATTATGCAAGCCAAAGAATAAGAGAAGAAAAAGAATGAGGAAAAATGAACAGAAATTCCAGAGATATGTAATACTATTAAATACAACAAGATACTCATAATGGGTCTATACCAGGAGAGAAGAGAAGAAAAAATATTTGCAAAAATAATGGCTAACAGCTTACCATATTTATTGAAAAACAATAACCTGCACATCCAAGCAACTCAACAAATTCCAAGTAGGATGAATGCAAATAAACTCACAAACCGAATCATGGTAAATATGCTGAAAGTCAAAGGCAGGGAAAAAGTCTTGAAAGCAACAAGAGGAAAGTGATGAGTCACTTACAAGGGAACCCCAATAAGACTAACAGCAGACTTCTCAGTAGAAACAACAGAGGGATAAAATAGTCAAAGCACTCAAAGAAAAAAAAAACTATCAAAAATCCTATAACCAGGAAACCTATTATTCAAAAGCAAAGGCAAAATAAGAACTTTACCTGATAAACAAAGACTAATTGAATAGATTCCTAGCAGACCTGCCTTACAAGAAATATTAAAAGGAAGTTCTTCAAGCTGAGAGCAAGTGATCCAAGATGGTAATTCAAATCCACATGAACAAAGAGCACAAGTAAAAGTAGTTATGTAATTATAAAAGACACTATAAATGTATATTTCTCTCTGCCTCTTAACTGATTTAAAAAGCAATTATATAGGGGTGTCTGGGTGGCTCAGTCAGTTAAGCATCAGACTCTTGATTTCAGCTCTGGTCATGATCTCAGAGTCATAAGATCCAGTCCTACATCAGGCTCCATGCTCATCAGGCTCCATGCTGTGGAATCTGCTTGAGATTCTCTCTCTCCCTCTCCCTTAAATAAATAAATACGGGGTGCCTGGATGGCTCAGTCAGTTGAGCGTCTGCATTTGGCTCAGGTCAGATCCCAGGGTTCTGGGATCGAGCCCCGTGTTGGACTCCCTGCTCTGCTCCCTCTCTCTCTGCTTACCACTCTGCCTACTTGTGCTCTTTCTCTTTCTCTCTCTGTGTCAAGTAAATGAATGAAATCTTTTAAGAAATAATAATAAAAATAAATAAATAATCTTTAAAAAGCAATTATATAAAATAATATGTGTACAATGTATCATTTGGACTATAATAACACAGAGAAATGTAATACATATATCATGTATTCACCAATAACAGCACAAAATAAGTGGGCAGGACTACAGCTGTAACAGACTAAAGAAATGATGACAGTAAAATAATAATTACAACAATATGTTGTTGGGTTTGTAATATTAATAGATGAAATATGTATAACAATTACCATTAAAAGAATGGAAAAGAGAATAGAGCTATATAGAAGTAACATTCTATATATTATTAGAATTAAGCTAGTATTAATCTGAAGCTGATTCTGACAAGTTAAGATTCATATGGTAAGCCCTGGGGCAACCAGTAAAAAACAAAAACAAAATTTTTAAAAAACCCTGAAAACATATAATAAGTAATTCATTAATGATATTAAAATGCTAATTAGAAAATATACACTCAATGCAAAAGAAAGCACTAATGAAGGAACAGAGAACAAGAAAAAAAGACATAAAGGAAACAAAAGAGGAGACATACAGAAACCAAAAAGCAAAATGACATATGTGAATACAACTATGTTAATAACATTAAATGTGAATGGTTTAAACAATCCAATTAAAAGGCAGAAGTTGTCAGACTAGATTTTAAAAAAGCATAATCTATATGTTGTCTACAGGAGATACACTTTAGATTCAAAGATACAAATATATTGAAAGTAAAAGTCTGGAAAAAGATATATCATGCAAACAGCAACCACAGGAAAGCTGGAGTAGCTATACTAATATCAGACTTAAACAAACAAAAAAATGTTACTAGCAATAAAGAGGGACATTTTATAATGACAAAAGGTCAAAGAAGATATAACATTTATAAACATATTTGTAACTAACAACAGAGCACCAAAATCATGAAGAAAAAATTAATAGAAATGGAAAAATAGACAACTGAACAATAACAAACAGAGACTTTAATACCCCACTTTCAATAATGGATAGAACAACCAGACAAAAGTCAACAAGGGAAGAAAAGAATTAAGCAACACCATTAACCAACTAGACGCTGACAGAACACTCCATCTGACAAGGATAAATTATATA